TGCCTTTTCGCCCCAGAAGAACGCCTCTACCCCCCAGTGCGGGCGCTTCTTCGCCTCAGGATGGGCCTCCCCGCCTTCTCAGCACCTTTCTGGGCCGCTCGCAGCCACCCCTCAGCCTTCTCAACGGCGAGGAAAAAGTGCCCACGCCGCAGAAGGCATCCTTGTTCTCCTTGCTAAGGGAGCAGCTGCCTCCTAGCCTCCCGCCGTTTCTTTTCCCCCTCCAGGTGAGACCATTCTCCGGCCCGCCACGTTTTTCCTTCTACTCTCACATCCCCGAGAGTCCCAGAAGGACTGTTTCTTTGTCTCCCCCTCCCCTCCCACGCGCTCTATTGTCATGCACAGTGTACCCCTTTCCCATTTGCCCCCCCCCTGCACTTTCCGTCTTCTCTGACCAACGCTCTCCCCTCCCCCCACGGAAATGCCTCTCAAGACCTCCTTTTTTTAAGAGAACGACGTGGTGCTTTGCCTTCCTTCCAACCTGTACTTAAGTCTCCCTCCAAACGAACCATTTTCCATTATCTCGCTTCTCCAGAAGCATACAAACCGTCGTTCTCCTCGAGTGTCTCCCTCCTCCCGCGTTTTGTTAATCGGCCCTGCACCCACAGCTCTTCATTTGGCTCGTCTTCCCTATTCGCTATTTTTGTCCCACCGTGGGATGCTCTGTCTTTCCGCCCCCGCCCCGTCGCCCCGAGCCTTTCTGTTGTAATGGGAAACATTCGTTTTTCAGCAGCTACTTTCCGGAATAACAAACGGCTTCCCTTCGTTTGATTTCTGAAAGGCAACGCTCGGTTGCTGTCTCTGAAATTCCCAAACACGTTTGTATGTGACGTGGAAATCGCGGGGAGCGGGAAGTCGTGCTCGGCGTCTGCTTCGCACGCCGGCTTCCCTCAATACAATTCGGATCGCTGGGACGCTGGTCCTTTGGCGTATCGGCTGCGAGTGGTATTTTTGACTTAGTAGGTCAGCTGGTGAATGTCGGGTTCGCGACGCCCATCTTGACTGATGCTCGCTTATTCGGTTCTTCCGCTCGCAGCTCGTGGTTCTTTACTGCATTTCAGCGGTGGCTGGAATTCACAAGACGCAATCTACAGGAAATAACTCTGTACCTCAAGAAGTGGGGGGTGCGCGCGCATTCCGTGGCCATTTATCACAGGAGTAGGGTAGCACCGTTCCTCACTATAGAGATTTATCTATCGTGTCAACCAATCAGTCCTTGACCGATACGCTAGCAATGAAAACAGGCTTTATATCGCGACAACTATGGCTGGATGATGAGATAGATCTCTAGTGAGGAAAGGCACAATAGGGATTGCTAACTATGACGGCACTCTATATGTATATGCTTTGGAGCAAGCCCCACTGAGCATTATGGGTTTGGATTCATAAGAAACCTGAGCAGTATCTGTCTGTCTGTCTGTCTCCGATTCTTACTTCCGATCCTTGCTTGAGAAACTTCCCACTAGCTGTGTAAGAGAACTGTGGACCTAAACATGCTTTTCAGGAAGTCACATTAAATTCCTTGGGACCTGCTTCCAATTGGACAGGTCTTGCTAATGGCTATGAAAAGGAGCAAGTGGGGGAAGGTACCATAAACCAGCCCGGTGAAAATGAATGGAATTTTATTATCACCCACTACAGTGGTAATTATATCACGCCCGCTTTCACCCCAGTCTTTAAATGTGCGTATAAGCTGTTTACACCAAGGTAAACAAGGAGAGGAAAGAAGATCCAGTACACAGAACTCCAGAAAAACTATGATCAGCCTGTTTGTCATCGTGAAGTCCAGGAATCTGTGGGAAAAAAGAAAGCACGTTTAAACCTGAATCCTAGCAACATTTTCCTAGTCTAAAATATGGCTTACTCAATATGCCAGAACACCTCTGAAGTTTCCTTTTCTAATCATGCAAATCTCTTGTGCTTAAAGGAAAATAGGAGCTCCTTTGAACAGCTTTCTGCTCAGAAAGCATTTCATATGGTTTCTGATTTTAGGTTGCACCTTTATAGAAAAGAAGGAAGGGCAGGACCTACCTCCTTTTTTATCTCAAAGAAGGAGTGAAAAATACCTACGTTTGTAACCTGAAACCTTGGGTGCACACACAAGCTCTTGAGCTTTTTAAACAGCTGACAGAAACAACAAAAAGCGGGAAGGGAACAAGTTTTAAATGAAGCACCTTGCCTCCGCTGGAAATGCTTTGGAAATATTTTCCTCAAAATCTGATTTGGGGTCAATTCAGTCTTGTTCTGTGGTCCTGAGTTAATGTGTCTAAAAATGTTGCACACATTTTTTTCCATATCTCCGATAAGGAGCACAAGGACTCGTGGCCTATTACACTGTAATTCTGTTTTTTATAAAGTCATTTTAGAACTATTGTAGACATTAAATGTTATTAGGCTGAACGCACAGGGGATATAGACACAGCTGAAAACTGAGGGTTGGGGTAGAGGTTTGTGTTTATTCTGTAGCAAAAAATAAAATGGGGGGGGAGAAAGAACTTCTTGTTAAGACTTCTACTTCGCCTTCCTTTTCGGAGTCACCAGACTTAGCTGGTAAAGTTAATTATTTCCATATTTAAATCCTTCCAGTGTTGTTCTTTTCAAACTTTCTGAAGCATATTTTATCACTCATTATCTAGTGTGAGGCTGTAGCCTTAAACGAACTGGAGTTGTCAGAGGACTATGATCCGACCCTCTTAAAGATAAACTTCCTGGCAATCGTGGGGGAGGTGTCCCACGCTCCTGACTGAACCCAGACCGCTTGGTTCCAATCGCACCCTTGATTCACCGAGTTCTCGTGTGGGGCTGCCTACGGGGACTGCACTCTTCCATCGCTCCTCATCGCACAGAGGCCTTCGCAGCCACGCTCTTAGCGGAAACCTTGGCAAGTTGGTTTTCTTCCCCTCCTTTGCGTGCGCTGGGCTTTTCCCCTCCCCTCATTCTCCCTTCAGGATTTCCTTAGACTGCAAATCCTCAGCCTCCCCAGCGGCCCAGCCGCGGCCTTGGTGGGTGTTTCGCCGCCTCTCCCCTTCTCCGCGGTGTTTGGCTGAGTGGAGTCTCCGCCGAGGGAGATACGGACGAAGGAACTGAAGTCGCGATCGCCAGGCCCTCCCTCTCTCGCCCATCCTCGGGGAGCTGACCTGGAGATCAGGCGGTTGTGCTGCACTCGGGAAAAAAACTCGAGAGCGAGCTGGAGACAGCGGCGCTCCGGGTGGTGTCTATCGAAAGGTAGCGAGGGAGAGGTTCACTCCCAGCACTGCCGTAGTAGGTACCCTGAGCGTTGAATAACCTCTCGAAAACGCTGCTGCTGCTAAGGGCTGGCCAAAAGGGGAATGGGATCTCGAAGCTGCGGCCGCTTTCGCCTCGCTTCCCCTAGCTGGTCTGGCCAGGCAACGGATTCACAGAGCTCCTATTTCTTAACTCCACGTGGTCGTTCGCTGCCCTTTTTCTGGGCAACAATGCCTCTGCCTCAGAAAGCAGGAGGTTGGTCTCGTACCAAGGCACGTAATCAATCAAGAAGGCCTTGCCGTGCTGGAGGCCCGGGGCCTGATCAACGTCCGCCCGTGACTCAGTCCTTTTCTCCTTCCTAAGGGTGTCGCTGGGATTAAATTCATTAGCGCTCTGCTCAGCTACGAAGACGCGCAGCGCCGAGGAAAAAAACTACAAATAACTCAACGCAATTCTGAGCTCTGAATGGCCCTCCTTGAGTGTGCCTTAAATCAAGCTGCTGCTGTCGCTTCCTGGGAGCCTGGTTTAATGGGAGTGTAGAAATCTGAATAGCAAAACAAGGCCACCTTGGCTTGGCCTTATACAGCAGATATGATCAGTCTTGCACGCCTGATTTCACCATCAGGAAAATAAAAGACGTTGAAATTGCTGTTTATTTAAAACACACACACACACCTGGCTGCACTAGCTAGAATTCCTTATGCAGCAATCTAGAATTCCATTTACTGTATTTTCCCAACCAGTCTTCCGGTTTCTTGTGTTATGCCTTTGCTGCACAGAGTAACCAAATTTTGTGGTAGCAACATTTTCTGTTACAAACTACAACACACTGAGACATCCACCCAAATGCAGAGCCATGTTTTAACAGGTATTGTGTTTTATTTTAGAAAGTCACATGCTTGGACTGTAATCCTAAATGAACTGACTTGGAAGCAGGCTCCTGGGTAATTAATGGGTGTTGCTTCTGAGTAGACCCAACTAGGAATAGTGCAGAAAGGATTAAAAACTCTCAGTGGTTACAGTTCTACTGGACACATCAGCTGGCGTCCATAGTGGTATATACACAAAATGCTGGTACAGTCACTAGACAGGAAAGAACATGTTTCAGTCAGGCATGTCACTCACACACACACACACACACAGCCGGCAAGTGAGAGAGAACTCAGAAGGCCTCTCTATCTCTGAAACCTTAACATTGAAAAAACAAAAATAGGACCGAGCTGGCCTGTCAAAAAAAAAAAGTTCTGCTTTGGTGAATATAT